TTGCTCTTTCAGTTTGACTAGACTCTTGCGGGGGATAAGTGTTGCATGCTTTCTTAAGAGTCCAGAAATATGCAAGTCACCCATCTCGCTCATTCTTGTTTAATTCGTTGCTCTGTCGCAGGATTCCAGTAGGTTTACAAGACAGTATTTGCCTTCCCTCATCCCAAATCGGGTGGCATTCAAAAGACTACACCTCTGTAGGTGTTCCAACACTCTTTACTATATTCTCCATTACTTTAGTAGGATTGTTATGGATACAAGACTGTCTTTTAATTTAAATGGTTAATGTATGAACAACATGCGCCATTTTCCAGATATCCTGTATGTATCCTATCTCCATTGGCTTGCAGTTTTTTGCTAAGTGTTCACGCAATACGTCTCTCTTGGGACCCAAGTAGACAACTTGTCAGGTCCTGTTGTTTTTGATTTGTCTAATTTGCTTAGCAACTTTTTTTTACTTCCTCCTTTGTTGTGGTAATGATGCCTTGTTTCTTCATGTTCATTCATTTTTTCTTGTACTCTGACATAATTTTTTTGAAATCATATTTAGTTCCTCGCATTCCTTCTTGTCGTTCCTTAAGCTCTGTCCTTTGGTCCCATACAGTCATTTGCATGCTGTGCCTATATAGACGTTTTTGTTTTAACTTCATTTTCGCCGCTATTACATGCTCATGTCACTGCATCTCTCATCAGCATATACCTGTTTGGTTCTGAAGCCCGCTTCTCTTATGACTTCTGTTCTTAGTCTCTTGTATCTCTTCCACGCTCTGCTGATTCTTGATTTTACGTCTTTACAACAGTGGTTAAACCGATAGTTCTTATCTTTTCTGCTTATTCTCTTGGGTTTAAATTTCTTCCCTTCTGCCAGGCACCATCTCATCTCTTCTGTTTTCATTTCAGTTCTTCGTCCCACTGGACTGAGTTCGGGAATTTTTCTCCGTACATAGTCTCCTCTTCTGTAATCTGGTTTCTCTCTCCTTTCATGCTCCTTTTCAGGCTCATATACATCAGGTAGTCAAAGCATAGGACTAATTAATCTCTTGCTTGATCCCAGTTTCTCTGATGACTCGCTTGTGAAGACTAGATTTAATCTTACCAGCTCCTCTTTCCTTTTTGTTGTCGTACCTCTGAAGCACAGCTAAAGTATATGTAGTTCTCGAGCACTACCTCTATTAGCTTAGCCATTAAGCCAGCTTTCCCATGTGGGTCCCATGTCTCTTTGTGGTTAGTCTTTTATAATTAGTTTCGCCGTATCCCTGTGGGCTCTTTGGTGCTTCTTCTGTAATGGCTAACACGGCCCTGTTACTTCTTTTTCGTAATCCTGTCCTGATCTCCTGCTCTTTAATTACGGGATTGTTGATTACTTCTACTACTACTACTACTACTACTACTACTACTACTAGATAAGATAAGATTTCGTTCGGATTTTTAACCCCGGAGGGTTAGCCACCCAGGATAACCCAAGAAAGTCAGTGCGTCATCGAGGACTGTCTAACTTATTTCCATTGGGGTCCTTAATCTTATCCCCCAGGATGCGACCCACACCAGTCGACTAACACCCAGGTACCTATTTGCTGCTAGGTGAACAGGACAACAGGTGTAAGGAAACGTGTCGAAATGTTTCCACCCGCCGGGAATCGAACCCGGGCCCTCCGTGTGTGAAGCGGGAGCTTTAGCCACCAGGCCACCGGGCCACCGACCAGGCCACCGGGAACTGGCCGGTCTTGGCTGTGCTTGTTACCTGGTCATTGTCCTCAGTGCTACTATTCCTCCCATTTTTCGAAATACTTACGGTTGCTGGAGTTTTCTGTTGATTGCACTAATTGCTGAGGCTTACTGATACTAGGGCTTTCTGTTGCCAGCGCTTTCTGTTGCCAGGGCTTTCTGTTGCCAGGGCTTCCCGTTCTCAGGGCTTATCGTTGCTGGGAGCTAGGCGGCGAAGGTAATAAACTCTTCCGTGACTGCATGTAAAAGATAGAGATATATTATTCAGTTTTCTTATTCGTTGCAATTATTCACTCTGAACATGTTACTCTGTTCCCACGTATTCCAGGTTTTTCTTTACACCTGCTGTACATTCATTGTCTCGTCAGTTGCCTGGCTTGTCAGTCTTCGTGGATGAAACGTCGCAGTAAGGCTTTCACTTCAAATATGGTGTAAACTTTTCTGTTATTTTTCTTCGATGATGCTTTAGACTACGTTAACAGACTTTCATGGCCAGGGTAACTTCAGCATGCCAGGACTTAACCAAGTTTGACCCTTGGCTAGGCAGTGCATGGAACCACGTTCTTTACCTCTGGAACCTTGTTTCTTTACCCCTGGAAGTTGCGGCTCTTTAGCAACGCGCTTCTTTGGTGGGTGGACAAGGGTAAACCAGGAAGTTCGGTGTTGGCATTCCCAGAGTCAAGCTGCTGGTTACGCATCCCTACCTTGTGGCCAGGTGGTACGTTCCCTCCTGGTCTATTTGTATATTCCCTGCCTAAATTTCAGAGTTTGTATGTTTTAGTTTGCAGGTAGCCTCATGTATTATGAAGCATTGCTATCACCTGCAGCTCATAAGACTGCCATTCTCCACGAGCCCCTTTGGGGCGGGGCAGATGGCAGACCAGAGGCCTAGCTTCTCCCTACGAGCCCCGTGAGGGCGGGAACTGTGGCTAGGTCTGGGGACAGTTGGTCCCAAAGATGAGGGGGTACTTGTACCTCCTCCCATGGGAGACTTAGGTCTCGAGATACTCCCCAGATAGGGAGCCAAGGCCGGGTTAACACTCCTTGGAAAAGACCCGGACCGGGAGAGTACCGGCGAATAAAAAAAAAATAGCATTGCGACTTCAGTTTGCGATAGTGTTAGGTGAGCGGGGCATCTCTAGGCTTGCTGGCAGTGTAGTGTAGCGTTATTTTTAGCTAGGGCCAAAAAAGTATCAGAATATATGAAAGCAGAGGAATAACTGTACTGATAATAGGGATAAAATGCCATCTTTATTGGATGGTTATAGTCATGGAACTTTTGTGACTCCAAGGTCACAAGACCATAACGTATCCAGTAAAAATGTCCTAAGTGTATGCAGTTTTGTCTTTTCAAGCAGATGTTATGTATCCTGTTGGTCTTAAGTTGCCTCCAGCCCTCTGGTAATTACTAGCATATTCCTCACTATAACATAATCCCTGGGATAATTGGTGGTTGTAGCGACTTTCTTTTCAGGGATAATTATAGACGAGTTAGTTTATATGTGAATATGAAATTACTTTTATTTAGAAAATAGGGATAGAACGAAATAATTAAGACTGGTTTAATGATAGGTACTCCAGAGCCACGAAAACGATAGGACCTGGACCCAATATAAAAAGTGCTAACCTAGACTTCGTTTCTCCCTGGGATGGCAGAGGTATGTCAGCGTCTTTACCTGGTATCCATGTTGAGTCAGTAAAGCGCTGGATCTCGAAGTTCCCCGTGACTGAAGACTGAAGGGTGGCTGCACAACTCGTGTGACGCTCAAAAAGTAACTATTGGTCTATTACTCTACGTCGATGGGTTCTCCTTTAATTTACCAGGAATCTTATTGTCAAATCTGTGAAATAAAATTAACTTATAGTTCACAACTTTGTTTCCATTAGTGATTCGATGATTTTTCAACATTCTTCTCTTCATTGGTCCATATTTATGCCTTCGTCACTTGTAACACCAATGGCGATGTTACACACATTCACCTTTTTTTTTCATATCTCTGCTGCTCTCTAATCATATATTTTGCATCAGTTACCTTCTGTGTGTCACCATTAACTCGGCACATGCTGGCATACACCGGAGCCGTTGTGTTCGTTGGTACTTCGCCTTTTCCATATCGTCTTCATGGTTCTTGCTAACACTTTTTCGATGCGGCAATCAAATTTTGCGCAAACGCAATCAGACTTTAAACACTGTGACTCCAGTCATCACTGCGGTCTCTGCATTCTTATTGAATGATTAAGAATTAGTGTTTTTACTGGGATAACGTAGTCCTTCTTTTCCCTTGATAATGTTGCAGGCAGAATGCAAAATGTGCAGTTTATTGAAAGTGAAACCATGTTCACGAAAACATTTTTAAGACTCGTGGAACAAGAGTTCTTTAAAAAAAAATTAGTCACTACCTATACGGTTTTTGTCACAACACTCGTGTCTGCATTTCTGATTCATATATTTTCCTGCAGATGACTTTTTTTTCGTATGTCACTTGCTTGAGTGATTCAGTTGCTTCCCCTTTCTCGAAGTATCACAGTTTGTCTCACGAAATCGTAATACCACGACTGCGTATTACATACTCCATGCTCTTCAAATCTGAACAGAAATAAAAATCCTATTTAACCTTCGACACTGAACACGGCAGACGGATGATGGACTCGACACATACTACAGGTTCTATTTTTTTCTTTGTCATTGCTTCCATCCTATTCATTTTTTAACGTTTGTATTTGCTATGTTGAACATCTTTTATTTAGAGGAATATTTTGCAACTTGATCAACTCCCCTCCCTCCCCTTTTTTTTTTTAAACTTGGATTAATCTAACAAAAGGAAAACAAGCTCCCCAGTTTGCCAAACTATATAACCTATCCAAAACCAAACACGATTGCAGTAATAATGAAAGAAAAATAAGTAGGAATCTGAAGCAATACTGAAAGAAAAGTGAACATGGTTGAAGGAGGAGAAAAAACATCCAGATATATCTTCCCTTCAGCTGTGAATGTTCTGTTCACCATATTCTTCATTTTTTTGTGTGTTCGCATGGCTTATACTGTAGTATAAATCACCACAATTTTTTTTTCAGTTCCCTGGCAAACTACAAATTGACTCCATTTTGGAACTTACACTGGGCACTTGGAAAGTTTACACATTCGTATAGTTAAATTATACAGACGAGAGAGAGAGAGAAAGAGACAGAGAATGTGCTCTGCTAGATTTGCGGCAGTATGTTAACAAGAGCGCCAGTAAGGAATAATTGTATGATTCTTCTTTCTCCGCTCATAGGTGCACGCTGAGCAGGGAGTCCTTCTGCCCCCGCAAGAACCCAACGGACCAGGAGAGATGGGAAAGCCCGTGTCACTCCCAAAGGACCTGGACCCGGAGATCAAAAAGAAGGTAGACGAGGGCTGGAAGAACAACGCCTTCAACCAGTACGTGTCAGATATGATCTCCGTCCACCGCACTCTTCCTGACCCACGCGATGAGTGGTGAGTACCTCACGTGTTTCCTGTTTCCACCTCAACAAGCATCACTCTTTCAACTTAAGGTTAAGTGTCATATTGTAAGAATGGTGCCAAAAAAGAGAGCTAGAAACATGACAGTTTTTATGTAAAGCTTCGAGCCATAGTTAATAGTATCAAGACAATTCACGTGAAAATATCACTGCAGATTACCATGCAAGGAACGTCTTTCTCACACCACCCATTCACACTCGTGTATTTCTCTAAAATCCAAAATATATTTGAAGCTATCTTCAAATGCTTTAGCTTCAGTAACACTGCTATGGAGTTTATTCTGCTCACTCACAACTATCGCCAAACCAACGTTATCATATATATTTTCAAAATCTAAATTACTCCACTTTGCATCCATCTGTTGACGTAAAAATCTCTGCGTCATGGTTGCCCTGTGGAAAATGTTGTCTCTTGCTCTGCCCTTATAAAATGTATTGAAGAGGGTAGCGACACAATTAGTTGTATTTAATTTTGACCAATAATGAAATCACAACCAAATGTGTCATTCTAACCTCATGGAAAGCTCCGATACTTGCTTACTGTACCCCAGTACCTGCCTACTGTACACAGTTTCTGCTTAAGTTCCCACATCTTATAATTTCTGGCACTATCTCGGGCCAGATAACTTGACTCCATGATACATCTGGAAGTGTCGTGCGCATGAGAGTGCACAGGTGTCTCCTGTTTCATGAATTTGATTAGCAGAGCGGCTCTGCTACACAACTGCCGGGCTTCATAGCCATAGTTGATATCTCTTTGCGTGCTTGTGCGTGCCTGCGTGTGCATGAGTTGAGTGTTTCAGCGGGGAGTATTGATGAAAGCGTGTATTTACCCATTTGTACTTCACTATTTGTGGTTGTAGGTGTTGAATTCCAGATCCTGGTTTCCCCTGTAGACTGTGTATATACGTTGAAGGAGTGTGTGTCTGTGTGCGCGTGTTTGTGAAAGGGGTAGTGTGAGGTGTGTGGAGGTTGAGAACGTGTTGGTTGTGTGTAAATGGGAGTATCATATTAGTGGACGATACTGACAAGTTGATGAATAAGACGTATGTGTAATACCGTGTGTGTGTGTGTGTGTGTGTGTGTGTGTGTGTGTGTGTGTGTGTGTGTGTGTGTGTGTGCGTGCGTGCGTGCGTGCGTGTGCGAGGGAGAGGGAGGAAGGGATAAGGGATGGAAGTGTTAATGCAGGTGAAGTTCGCCTGGCCGCCAGCACAGGTGTTGGCCACGTTAATGCCAGCGTGGGGAAGGATTTACGTGTAGTCAGTAGTGCCAGTCCACCCGGGAAATAATTTCTTGTGAGCGAGGGTGTGGTGTGGGCAACTTGTGATGTGATTACCACCTGTGTTTGTGTTTCCACACACCTACTTTGTTGAACCACCTGCTGCTGCGTTATATCTTATGCTTTGGTCACCTAATTATTGTTGGTGGTAGCGGTTGCGTTGCTGAGGTTATTGCTGATGCTGCTGCTCCTTATCCTCCTATATTCCTTATCTTTCTTATCCTCGTTATATTCCTCCTCTTCCTTATCCTCGTTATATTCCTCTTATCCTCGTTATATTCCTCCTCTTCCTTATCCTCGTTATATTCCTCCTCTTCCTTATCCTCGTTATATTCCTCCTCTTCCTTATCCTCGTTATATTCCTCCTCTTCCTTATCCTCCACTTATCTTACTCATTAATCCTCTTCTTGCATAGTCTTTAAGCAATTGATATTTTTATGCCCTTGCTTCAGCATTCAGTTACGTCCACTTCGTGGTCATAAGTCACGTTTTGAAGACAACGTTAGTGCTCACCTCAGCTGCTGCTGCTGCTGCTTTTATCTGCACGTAAAATATATACATGACTTAAGCTGAGGAGGTCATCTTATATTCTGAAAGCTGAGGGCTGTTCTTAACTCATTTCGTTTTTTGTCTTCTGACAATATATTATGATTAACTTTTAGGCGATTTTTTTTTGTTAGGCAACATACATAAAGAACACTACATGAAACTGGATCCAATTATTTACCAGATATGTCATTAGTCCCGTTAGCTCATGAATGTCTGTTGTGAAAACATGCTCTGCATACAAGTAATTCGAGGAACGATAAATAGCTGGAGTGACGTCCCTCAGAATGGTGGAAGTTATTATGGCTGACCGTAATGTGTTATAACAGCAGTTGTCTACGAAGCTGAGGTGCGTGTGGAAAAAGATAACATTAGTCTTATACGTAATAGTATGGCCACTGATCCCTCTCCTGTGTTGAAGATGGTGCTGAAATATGTCTTATAAAAGGCTTGGTTGATATTAAAAAGTAGCAACATTTCTCACCGCTACTCCTTATTCAAGAATAACTTTAGTCACTTTGCCTTGTTCAAGAGTAGTCACCTCGTCTTCTCTTCTACCATGTTAAGTAGTTACCTTACCTGATCCGTTACCATCCACTATGGACCGGAAAGAGTTGGACCATAATTTATGCCAGTTTCTTGGACACCTTTAGTGCAAGCTTCGCATCGTGTTTTCTCTTAGTGAAAGCAGTGTTGCAAGCTTCACCACGTGCTTGCTTTTAGTGAATGCAGTCACACATCACTATATTACCTTTATTCAGAAATGTGATATATATTCTCTCTGTTTCTCTGTCTCTCTCCCTCCCTCCCTCCCTCCCTCCCTCCCTCCCGCCCTCGATAAGGAGAAGTTCAGCAGTTAGGAAGACATGTCAAGGGGCCGGTGAGTCAGACATGATGGCTACGGCGTCCACTGCTGCCTGCACAGAATATTGAAGTGATCCCTGCCTCCTCGCTCCCCGCTCTACTACGTGTGGGTACACCTCAGTAGAAGTGTGGACACAGAGAGAGAGAGAGAGAGAGAGAGAGAGAGAGAGAGAGAGAGAGAGAGAGAGAGACGAAAGTAGGTAGGTCTGTGTACACGCCTATATATACTTGCAGGGGTCAAATCCCAGCTCCTGGCCCCAGTTCTCAACTTGCCATTTCCCGGATTCACTCCCTCTTACCCTCGTGGACTTTGTTGTACCTACTCTTAAAACTATGTATGGAATCTGCCTGACATCTGTGTCCCCGAGTGCCTATTTCCCGCCTCTCAAACCACCTAGCCTATCCCTGTCTACCCTATTAAATCCTCTTGAGAATCTTGTATATCTCCCCTGGTTCTTCTGTCTTCAGATGTCATTAGATTAAATTCCCCAGCCCTCTTAGCTCTGGAACAAGCTTCGCTGCATACAGCGTAATTTCTTTTCAATTTCCTAACTTACTTTTTTTTTTTTTTTTTTTTTTTTTGGCGTGGGTTACATACTCGTGCTGCATACGCCACGGTGAGCCTGGCATGTTGTAAAAAGGACCCGGAATGACTCTCAGTAAAGACTCCCTAAGGCTACTCTAGATTTGCTTGACGAACATTGGCGGCTGAGGTTATTAGGTTGATGTGAACCTGTGTATGAGTGTGCGAGAGAGATCTAGCGCACGTTAACTAGGAGTTTAAATGGGATGAATGTACCCCTGTTACATTAAGGTGTTGGCTAGGGCTCCATCTTTAACATTCACTACAGTGATGGAAATGATATCTATCCACATGTGTTCTGACCTGCTTACTCATGGCTGCCTGGATAGAGCTACGTCCACTCTCTCTACTTCGTAATATTTTTCAATGCTTATTTCATTTTATTGAAAATTTTGCTGCCATTTGTGTCGTCTCGTTACAGGCCAGTTTCTGTGCTTCGGGATCTATGATGTGGTGTTTACCCTAGTTTAATTTTTGTTTAATTTCATCCGAAGATAAGAATAGTTATTCTTATTTATCTCTACGTATGATTTTGCTTCCTCTAGCGCCATTGGACTTGCTCATCCTGTTTAGAATTAATGTGATGACTGTGCACACTGCCTCAATGTATGGTCCATACTGACTATTGGTTTTATGATTTGTCTTGTGGCGCTCACGGCTAGGGGTGGATAAAGTCGTCAACGGGCGAGTCTGGTCGAGATTCAAGGGCAGAACTCTCAAAACCGATCTTAGGTTTGAAGGTGGCAATGAGTGTTGGCGAGTGTGGAGGGGTGAGAGTTACCGTATTTTCCGCCCTATAAGGTGCACGAGTATATAAGGTATATATAATGTTTCCAACCAGTTGTAACGTAACCTTAGTAAACAACTGCGCCTTATATGCTTAAGGTCAAGGGTAGGTTTTTGGGTTACGCTTTAGTAGTTGTTTACTAACGTTACGTTACAACTGGTTGGAAACGTTGTTATATATGCCTTATATGCTCATGCGCCTTATATGCCGGGAAATACGCTATGTCGTGAGTATGACTATTACATATGTAACAGGAGAGTGTAGCTTGGATTGTTGGAGCTGAGGATGGAGGTAAGTAAATGATGGGTGGTACGTATGTTAGGGAACTTTGTGTGGTATCCACTTCGTGTGGATAACTTACCCCCCCCCTCCTCCCAGTGTATAGCGCACTCACTTCAATGCTGACTGTATCTCCTTCCGGTTTACATGTCAGGCCGTGTGGGGGGAGTGGGGACGAATACCCCTCACTTAAGACGTGTGGTTTCGGACGCCGTTCATTTCATACTTCACTCATAGACTACTTCGACGCTGATGCTTGTGTATCTCTCAGTGATGCTTGTTTATATCTATCCTGAGTGATCCTTGTCTTTGTCTGCCGTGAGTGACCCCTGTCTGCTGTCAGTGATGTCTGTCTTTGTGTCAGTGAACCTTGTTCATAACTAATCTTCAATTTTGAGAAAAGAATGTTAGAAGACTTTCCGGTCTTTCCTGACCCATTTTCTTCGACGTATGCCCCACACCCATGTATGTATGCCTCCCGATTAGTGAACCTGATGCTAAGGGTATAATAAGCGGGGGCTCCATCGTTATGTCAGCACCTTGGTTCAACTAGCCAGTCACGAGGAAGCCCGCCAAAGTTGTGAAGTGATATACTCGTGACTCATGCTTGGCAGACTTGCCGTCTAGTCTGGTCGC